AATGAGCTCTATGGGTTGCAATAATAATGTCAATTCCTTGGTTTTGATATTGTACTATAATTGCATAAAATGTTAACATTGGGGGAATTAAGGAAAAGTGCATGGGGCTTCCCCGTACATTTCTTTGCAACCTCCTGTGAGTCTATAATTATTTCAAAATAAATTTTTTTATTGAGGTAACACTGGTTTATAACATTATATAAATTTCAGGTGTACATCCTTGTATTTTAACTTCTCTATAGACCACACTGTGTTCACCACCAAAAGTCCAGTTTCCATCCATCACTGTACACATGTCGCTCTTTACCTCTTTCCCCTTTTCTCCATCCTCCTTCCCCTCTGGTAATCTGCTCTCTGTATCTATGTGTTTGTTTGTTGTAAAATGTGGGGGTTTTTCTTTTGAGGCATTTTTAAACTGCCTTATCCAAGACAGCAACCTCTTCCGTCACTCCTCTCATAACTTACTTTCTTTGTCTTCATAGCCTATATTTCCTCTACCTGACATTATAATATATGTAATGTATAAGATATAACATATTTTGTATAAATTTGTCTCCTCCAGGAGACTTAGGAAGGCAGGAACTTGTGTTCTCCACTGTATGCCCAGTGCTAGAATGGCACCTGGTACATTACCTTTGTTGAGTGAATGTCAAGTTTACCTGCCTTCCTGTATGTGTACATTTCATTTGTTGTGTCTATACATAAATTGGCCTTTACAGTCTCCTGCCAGAAGCAACACTTTTATCAAGGTAACCACCTCAGACTCTCCATTCAGAGGAATTTCAATTGCCCTTTTCCAGAAATAACATTTTAATACATGCAATTCTCTAGTGGGAACCGGGTATTTGATCTTATTCTGTTCATTCCTTCCCAGATCCAATCAGGCCTTTTGGGAATACATCCTCATTTAGCGTCTTTCTGGGATAGTCAAACCTTCAGCTACGAGAAGGCAGCTAAATAAAGTTCCTTGAATCTGACAGAACTGACCCTGTGTTCCTCAAAAAGATTTTCAGGAGGTCAAGGCTTCAGACAGAGTTGTTCAAATAAAATGAAGCAATTTCATAAGAAAAAGAAACAGTACAAAGAAAGATCATTAAACTCTCAGCCATCTATCTTATTACAAATGGTCATGATCTATTTATTCTACTGTACATCTGTGGTAGGCGAAATAACAGGTCCTAAGCATGTCCACATCCCAATCCCGAGAACCTGTGAATATACCTCATATGGCAAAACAGACTTTGCAGATGGATATGATTAAGGTTAAGGACCTTGAGAGTCGCCTGGATTATGGAGGTGGGCTCGATCTAATCACAGGACTCCTTCAAAGCAGCAAACCTTTCGTGGCTGCAGAGAACCAGAGGGATGGTGGTGTGAGAAGGATCTGATCTGCTCTTGCTGGCTTTGAAGATGGAAGAAGGGAATTTCAAGAAGCTGGACAAGACAAGCAAAGAGATTTTTCCTTGGAACCTCCAGAAGGGAATGCAGGCCTGTCAACACCTTGATTTTAGCCCAGTGAGACCCATATCAGACTTCTGATTTACAGAACTGTACGATAATAAGTTTGTGTTGTTTTAAGCACGAAGTTTGTGGCAAGCTGTTACAGCAGCAATGGAAAACTAATACAGTATCTTATTCTGAGTATAGCTTTTCTTTTAGCTCTGCTTGGAAGCAACAGAAACGAAGTTGAGCTTCCTTAAGCAAACAAAGCAAATTTTTCCGTAAGCATACAGAGTGTCTCAGGGAATCCAACACAGGACAGCCCAGGAGCTGCAGAAAGGTTGTAGGACCATAGTGAAAGCTTTCACCAGGAGTATCCTTCCTCCTTCCTTTGCCCTTTTGTCTCTGCCACCCTATCCCCACCCCCCAATCTGTTTCATTCCTTTCTCTCTGTAAGTAGACTTTCTCTGCTACTTAGCCCATAAGGTCTAAGAAGCCTGAGCCTCAGTTTCCCTTTGCCTTTTCTTTTTTCACCAGACCAGTCAGCCCAGGCTGTGACTAGAATCTCATTCTCAATTCCAATGTCCCAGGGAAGGAACTCTGGCACTTTGGGCTAGGGGCCTGTTATAGGTTGACTTGTGTCCCCCTCAAAAAAGATATGTTGAAACCCTGACCTTCAGTACCTCAGAACGTGACCTTATTTGGAAATAGGGTCGTTGTAGAAGTAATTAGTTAAGATGAGGCCATACTGGAGTAGGGTGGGCCCTTATTCCAATATGACTGGTGTCTTTATAAGAAGAAGAAATTGGGACACAGACACAGAGGGAAGATGGATGTGAAGATGGAGGCAGAGGTTCCAGCTAAGCTGCCATAAACCAAGGAATGCCTGGGGCTACCAGAAACTGGAAGAGGCAAGGAAGAAACCTCCCCTAGAGAAGCCAGAAGGAGCACGGCCCTACCGACACCTTGCTTTTGGACTTCTCGCCTCCGGAACTGTGAGACAATAAGTTTCTGTCATTTTAAGCCTCCCAGTTTGTGGTACTTTGTTACAGCAGCCCTAGGACACTAACACAGTGCCCAAACCTATCCAGTGAGCTATGTCTTCGAGAACATGTCTCAAATATAGCTCCTTAAGACTCACTTCTATGGCTTGACAGTAGGGGCCCAGTTTCCAAAGAAGGAAAAATCATTGTGAGCTGGACAGACGCACTGAAAAGCTGTCCATTCTATCTCCCTACAACTAGGACAAATATGATATGATTTTCATTTTTTTGTTGTTTTGCTTTAAAATATTTAATTATTTTGCCCTCTGGAATACACTGTAGTGTACAATGTAAGATATGAATCTGTTACTCCTTTTCCATACTGTAATCCATTTGTCCTCACAACTTTTATTAGTGATTACCTCTTCCTCTCATCAGTATGGTGCTTCTTGTTTATTAGTCAGTGAGTATTGATGATTGAAAATATTTCCGGAATCTCTGTGCTATTCCACTCATCTGATTGGTTTACCAGGTTCCTGGCATGAGAATGAGAAGACTCCAGAGGCTTAACTTCCAACCTGAGTTCTGGAGCATGGTTACCCCTCGCTTTATTCCCTCCTCTAAGTGTTTTATCTATGGCAATTTGGAATATCTAATTACTCCTAACTTATTTTTTTTGAGGAGGGAGGGTATTTACAAAATGTTCTTGACCTTTTTATTGTAATGGACCAGGAGAACTCTTCTGGTGGAAGACACTGTGCCCTTTCTGTGTCCCTCCCCCCTTTTTTTTAAAGATGGGCACCTTAGCGAACAACTGTTGCCAATCTTCTTTTTTTTCCCCTTCTTCCTCTCTCTAAAGCCCCCCGGTACACAGTTGTATATTCCAGTTGTGAGTGTCTCTGGTTGTGCTATGTGGGACGCTATCTCAGCATGGCCTGATGAACAGTGCCATGTCTGTGCCCAGGATCCGAACCAGCGAAACCCTGGACCCGCCAAAGCAGAGCGTGAACTTAACCACTTGGCCACGGGGCTGGCCCCCTGTGTCCCCTTTTTGAAACTGGTCCCTGATCCTGTTAACCCTAGTCTTTAGGATGAAGACAAGTCAGATAATAGCAAAGGACCCTCACACTAAACTTTGTAGTATATATGTGCCTGGCACACAGTAAGCACTCAATAAATGTTAGATAATTATTAGAATGAAGGCCAGACAACATCTACCCCAAACTCTTGCCAGTATCTAACAACAGCTCATTCCTACACCTCCCCTACTTTAAGTCATGCATGAGAGTGGGAAGAGGATATGGTAGGCTCAATAATGGCCGCTCCAAAATGTCCATGTCCATGTCCTAATCTCTGGAACCTCTGTATATATTACCTGACATGGTAAATTAAGAATCTTAAATGGGAAGATTATTCTGGATAACGTGGGTGGGCCTATTATAATCACAAGTGTCCTACAGCAATGACATAGGAGTCAGAGAAAAAGGAGCTGTGACCATAGAAGCAGAGGTTGGAGGGATGTGCTTTGAAAATGGAAAAAGAGGCCAGGCACCAAGGAATGCAAGTGGCCTCTAGCAGTTGGAAAATGGATCCTCTGGAACCCTCAGAAGGGACCGAGCTCTTCTCACACCTTGATTTTAGCCCATTTCGGAATTCTGACTTCTAGAACTGTATGATAACAAATTTGTGTTGTTTTAAGCCACTAAATTTGTGGCAATTTTTTTAGAGCTGCAATAGAACACAAATACACAGGGAATCAGAATTTCATTGAACATTCTGCAAAATTTGCACTCCTGGATACAGGTCCTTGTTTAAATTGCAGGGTTTGAGTGGTTCCTCTCTTGTCATGTCACCCTGCCCAGATTTTCACCTCCCTGCAGGCCTTTTCTCTCCATCTTTGCCTGCTCAGCCTGATTTCTGCCACCCCAAGAATCTTCTTCCATTCACTCACCTTTGAGGCCTAGATTTGATAGCTGTTCTGAGATAATGATGTTAACTCCACATGCTTGAGACTAAGATTATTAGGAACGGAAAGTCGGGGAGCAAATTAAATTGAAACATGAAATAACAATGAGAAAGCTTTTTAAAAATTGGTGCAGTTTCTGTCCCAGCATCGGGCCAAAAAGAAAGCTAGAGAGAGACGAAGAACCAGGCTGACGAACAATCCAGCCAGGAACAGCGAACTGCACTGTAGGCGTCTGAGATTTTGCTCAGCCCATTTTAAGGCCTGGGGCTTGGGCAGAAATTTCCACCTTTTTGTCCAAGCCCAGAAGGCTAGGTACCAAGAGCCAGTAGAAACTTAAGTTAAAATGTAGTTTGGAGTTTAAGAAATCTAGATTCGAACCTGCTTCTGCGCAACATCGTTCCTGGTCTCTTCCTCAAAGAGGCCCTGAACCAGGCCCCTGCCAGGTGAGCTCCTCAAACCCAGTGAACCGGGAAGGTGCAGCACCCCAGCTCCTAACCCAAAACACGGACTTCTGGGTCCGCGTCACCAAAAGAAGGAAAAGTATAAAATGCACGTCTCTGGCACTAAGAAAGCGCGCTGTTTTTACTCTCCTCTCCCAGAATAAAAGGCTCTTTTAATTCTTTATTTGTGATGATTTTATTTTTTCTTTCCGTTCTGTTACTAGCTGGAACTAAACATTGGCTGGGGCCCCAGGCGGCTGCTGGAAAGGCGCCCTCCCAGGAGCAGAAGGCTCGCGTAGGAGAGGCTGGGGGCTGGGAGCACTCACGACGCTCCAGCGCGGCGCGGAAGGGATTCTCTCGTCTTCCTCTGGCCAGCCCAAGCCCCTACTCTGAGCCCCCCGACAGCAGCGATCGGCCAGGAGCCTTCGCGGGACGCTCACCGGGAAGCGGGACACGCAGCCCCGCCCCCGTCCCCTCGCAACCCGTCCCCCAGCTCCTCCCGGGCGAGGGGCGGAGGCGCCGGCTGGCAGCCGCGGGGGCGGGGACCACCCACGGCGCCGCGCGACCCCGCCCCGGCCCCGCCCAGCGCAGCGCCCGCCCGGCCTCCCGGCTTGACGCCCTCGCACGCTCCTCTTGGCGCGAGGAAGCCTCGCGCTTGTCTCGAGATTTTTTCTGGGGCCTCCCCAAAGCAAGATGGGCCTGGTACCCAGCTCTTTCAGATAAAGATGGAGGAGGGGGCTAGAGCGGCCAAAGTGGGGGTGAAGAGATGACGTTCTTCCTCCTTGTTCCCCTAACCAGCACTCCCCGCCTCCCCCCTCCCCCCAGCTCCGGAGACAGTGCTAGACTCTGATTTCCAGACACGTCCTTCCCTAACCCATCCTAAAAGTTCTGGGTGGCAAATTAACTGTAATTCACTTTAGTTCAGAAAAAAATTAAGGTCAGGTTTGGGGATAAAATTACGCATTCCCAGATCACAACTGAGAATCTTTCGACCTAATTTAGACCGGAGACGGCGGGGTTGTGGGAGGAGGGTAAGTAAGTGCATCTGATAGGGCGAATCAAGGGGCCCGGGAGGTACAGTGGCCTTTAGGGGAGTCCACGGTCCCCTCCTGGAGAGAGGGCCGACCAGCTAGGCCCTTCTACCCCTCCCTTTCTAATTGCCAGAATGGAAAAAATACATGGAGTCCAGCTTTGCCCAGGTGAACAAACTCTTATTGCCATTTCTGGCTCCCCAGCCCCACAAGATCCCTGCTTCTTACACTGTGGAAATACTGAGCTCCGGTCCAGAGGAATAGGCGCCTGTTACCTTACCTCCTCTGCACACTGCCAAGGTTAAAGAAACCCCACTTGCTGGAGAGGGAGGGCCAGACTGGGGAGGAATTCAAGGGCATGTATCACTCAGTCCCACCTCTGCTGGCTGCAGAATATAGAGACCATGGTTCCAAACACTTTTCAAAGGAGGTGGGGAGGGATGAATTTGGCTGCTCTTGTACCTCTTGCCCTTGCTGCCATGTTTCCATGGAAATGAGGGAGAGGCAGGATGTAGCTCACTCTGACTACCTGGGAAGATGGCAGGGCAGACATTTAGTAAACATAGTGCCTTCTACTCCTACCCAACACATACAACTGTCCCCAGCCGACCCCCAAGCTCACTGCCTGCTCCACTCCCTTCCCTTCTGGAGCTGGTATCATGCCAACTGGACTCCAGCCAGGTCTTGCTGGCAACAGCCGGAATCTGAGTAGTCCGTCATGCTTAGGAGCAGCCCTAGTAGAGCTGTTGGTTGTAGTGCCTTGGTGAAAAGCAGCACCTAGTACCCCCAGGACTCTGCAACAGCTGTTTCCCAAACATCTCTGCTAAGACAAAACTTAAAAAAAACATAAACCCAAATGAGTAAGATTAGAAACAATATAAAATAACTAGTGATGCTGAGGGCTAGGATGGGGAGAGGAGGTGCATCCTTCCAGCTGGGGGGGCTGGAATCCACTTGGTGCTATGCCCATTGCTTCTGGTTGATGAGGCTTGCCTGTCACCATAGTGAGGAGGTGCAGGATGAATTCTCAGTACCATGGGTCAGCCTGGTGCTGCTGGTTGTAGAGCTGTAGCTTGATCTGATCGCGGATCTGATTCACTAGGATCTGGGAGAGCAGGATTCCCACCAGCTAGGAGAGGCGAGAAGAAATGGGGCCCTCAGTAATGAGTGATGCCCTTGTTATCCCTGACTCAGTCTTCCCAGTGAAGTCGGCACCATCCCATGCCCTGCCCCTCAATAATTTAAGTACCTGACACCCTAGCTCATCCCCAGGTGCCCTCCCCCAAACAAAAAAGTCTTTGCAGAATTGTGGGACTGACAGGTCTTAAAGAGTAAGTTACCTGGGGGATGGCTAGGCCCAGTGCCACACCACCGACTAAGAAGAGGTTGCTGTGTATCCAGTTGACCAATTTGTCAATACAGCCATTGGTGTAGATGACTTTACTAGCTTCCAAGTATTCAAGGGCCTGCATACCTTGGCCACACATGGTGTTGATCACTGCCTGGGGAGAGAGTTGAGAAGCCCAGTAGGATTCCCATTCCAATAACTTTTTCTTTGGGGCCCTAGCTGATGGGCTTCCCACCCTTCCTAAACTCCTAAACTGTTAGAGCATATATGTACAGGATGCTAGGTTGGAAGTTTCTCATTGCAGGCCTGCCTTCCTCTGAGAGATCTGAGTCCTGTGCTCCTTGCTTTAGACACCTGCCCCTTCTGAATCCCCATGTGGGCTACAGGAGTGAAAGGTTAACAGGGCCATCAGATTGGGGTGAAGAAAATCATCTGACAGCTGTCCTACAAAATTGACTGGTTGAGCTAGGGGATGGGCAATCCCAATAGCGGCTGCCCTAATCAGAAAACAACTCAGATCGGAAATGAGGTGGGATGTGTGCTCACCTGGTTGGGGGTAGGCAAGCAACAGGAGTAAGGCACAGAGCAGCGCTCACGGCTGGGGTTGTCTTCTGAACAGTTGAAGTACATGTTCAGGGACCAGTCCTTGTAGGAAATCCCTCCACAGCAGCTGAACTGCAACAAAGCCCACCACAGAGGTTAAGAATCACCCACCCCTCACACCGAGGTGACCAGGGGAATTCTAGGAACAGCCAAAAGTCTATGGCAAGCTTCCACTTGTAAGTTCAGGTTGTTTTTAAACACAACCTTGAAACTTGAGCTCAAGTTTCTCAGTGGCCTTCACCTGAAGAAGTTTTCTCTTCTTAATTTCTATTACTTTATATATTTTATTATAACTTACCATAGTTGCATATATATTTTGTTTTACACATTCAACTATGAGCTCCTTGAGGGCAGTTGCTGGTTTTCCAGTCCTGCATAGCATAAAGCCTGGCAAAAGGAGGTGTTCTAAAATAGTGGCTGTAATAATTAAAGAAGCAGCACTGAAAACATTTGTCTTAATACAGAGAAAACACAGAGGAGATACTTCAGTATTGTGGGCCCATAACTACTCCATGAAAGCAAAGAGAATCCAAGTCAAGTGGCTGTTGCACCCAGGGAAGAGGAACTCAGCACTGGTCTCAAAAGTACTTTTATTTAAAATTTAACTTTTGATTTATAGCCACATTATTCACAATAGCCAAAAGGTGGAAGTGACCCAAGTGTGCATCAAAAGATGAATGGATTAACAAAATGTGGTATAGACATACAATGGAAAATTATTCAGCCTTAAAAAGGAAGGAAATTTGGACACATTCTACAACACAGATGAAGCTTGAAGACATGCTAACTGAAATAAGCCTGTCACAAAAGGACAAATATTGCATGATTCCACTTATATGAGGTCCCTAGAGTATTGAAATTCATAGAGATGGAAAGTAGAATGAGGTTTCCAGGAACTAGGGGGAGGCGGAAATGGGGAGTTAGTGTTTAATGAGTAGAGAGTTTCGGTTTGGGAAGATGAAAACGTTCTGGAGATGGATAGTGATGATGGTTGCATAACAATGTGAATACTTCGTGCCACAGATCTGCACACTTAAAAATGGTTAAAATGGTAAATTTTATGTTATGTATATTTTACCACCATTTTAAAAATTCAAATTTTGAATAGGTAATATTTAAAAATCTGCCTGGTTCCTCATCTCTCTATAAGTAACCACTTACAATGGTTTCTTACATATCTTTCCAGATTCCTTGGAAATATGAATACATATTCTTTCCTCCCTCTTTTTTTGCACAAATGGTAGATTACTATATATATTGTTCTGTGCCCTTAAAAGTACTTTTAAAGCACTCTGCTATGTATGTTTTTTTGCCAACCTCCTTCCCAGAATCCTGGCAAGTAATGAAGAAGCCCACAGGACTGGAGGGGGAGGCATCTCTTAGGATGGCTGTAACTTTTGCACACGGCCTCTCAGACTAGTAGCTGACCGCCCTCCCCCGCCTTAGTCCATACCTTCTTCTGCCCAAAATCAATGAGGTTCTGCAGGTCCAAGTCATCTCGGTAGTGCACAATGGCATTACTGATGATCTCACTCACTTTCCCCCGTGCCTGTCAGAGACATGAGTAGGGGATCAGAGCACAGGACTAACCCCTAAGTGGCTCCTCCTTGCAGAAATAACAGTAGATAGTAGTCAGCCTTCTTTATTTAAATCAGCCTTGAAATCAGAACCAAGTCCCAGCGAAGGAAGATGGCCAGTTCTGAAGCCCAGCATCCTTGGGCCCTCAGGTACTGTGGGCAAGATAAATGCTGGACCTGCTGTTGCACTTCTCAGAGCCAGATTTCAAGATAACCCTGTGTTTATCTACCTCTGAATACTATTACCACAAAATACTTGTTGATTGATGAAAAGCAGAGAAACTCTTTTTGTTTTTTTTAGTAGAAAAGGGCTTACTGAGCTGAGGCACTGACCTCTAGTGGACATAAGAGAATTGCATCTCTTTAGAATCAAAACAGATCTATATCATTTTAGGAATTTACTAAACCAGGAGGATTAGAACATTCTGAATGGACTCAGGGGCTCTCAACTTCATAGTTTCTACCATGCTTTCTTCCTTCCTGATCCTCTACTTTTCTCAGAGTTTCCTACCCATAGTCCCATAATCTGCCCCCAGCCATCAGTTGCCCTTTGGGAAAAGAATTCTGGTTTTTAATTAAAAGGACTGTCACTGAACGGCAGACCACTTCCAGATATGGTAAGCACTGCTTAAAATCTTGTTTACTTTCCCCCTTCCTTCCTTCTGTTTATCCCAATAAACAATTTTTAAAAGAAGTAAAAGGCTCTTCAGGTTGTCTGTGGTCCACTGGATAATTTTTACCCAACCATTTGCCATTAAAGTTTGCAGATTATTTTAACTTTGTGTTCACAGAATTTACTTCTCATTTGGCATCTCAGACTGTCAGAGGAAAACACCTTACAATCTTGAAATCCTCTTTAAATATGGGGACTTTAGAGGCCATTCATTCATCCCTAAGGAGAACCTTCCAAAGGCTGATGCTTCTCAGGGGAAGCACTATGGTTAATTAATCGGGCTAAGCATGGGCAGGAATCTCCCTTCCTCCCTCTGGTTCACACCTGAGGAGGCCCCTTGGCTCCCAATGCTACCTTATCTGAGAAGATGAAGCCCAGGATCCCAGCAGCCAGCTGCAGCAGGAACACAATGGTGAGGCAGAGCGAGAACTGTGGGGAGCAGGCAGGAAAAGCAGACAGTCTGTTACCACGCTGGGCAGTGGCCCCTCCCAGGGCTATGGAGAGTAGTGGGGGTCCACAGGGCACTTCTCCTAGACGCCCCTCACATGGTAAAGGCCAATGCCTCTGGGACACTGTCTTGGGGGTGGTCACCCTGTGCTGGGTCACCTGGGCTGAGCTCCACAGTGAGGAGTGGACAGCACAGGCCTTGGAGGTAGGGTGGGACAGGAAACCAAAAGGTTGTAGGAATGGCATCAGGAAGCTGAGAGGCACATGGAGGGGCCAGAGTCTTTCTGGTGGGGCCCCTGACCACTCACCGTCTGCAGGAGGCAGATGTTCTCTCGGAGGGATCCAATACAGCCGCAGAAGGTGAGCAGGAACATGAGGACGCCCACCACGATCAGCACGATGGCAGGGTCCACTGCCAGGTAGGCTAAGGCTGCTTCTGGGGGGAGAGGGCTATCTCTCAGTCTGAGCCTGGTGCCAACTGAGGGGGCTACCCAGAGATGGGTTTGGGGAGTGCCCCATCAAATGTTCTCCTCCTCCGGTGGGGGAATCTCCAGTGTGGTTGGGTGAAGGTTATGGGGAGGCAGTACTGCCTTCCCACGGTGAGAACAAAAAGGGCCCAGAAGGGTTTGTAGCATTTAATTTGAGGAACTGACAAAGTAAGAGCCTTTCTTCCTGGGCTTAAGAGAGGAGGGACCACTTTCGCTCCAGAAAAGAATTAGAATGGCATTAGGCTGGCCAGCTTTGCAGATTCTGTTTCCTGGAGACTCTGTGCAGTGGAAGTTGAGTTACTCCAAAGCAAAGGAGGGGCTAAATCCTCTGATTACTCTGCATCCAGAGGCCGACCTTCTTTCCTAGACACTTCCTAAGCCTAAAATGCAGGCATATCTTGGCAGATTTGTGGGAGCTCAGGGAAATCCAGGTGAAGTGGCATGGGTGGCCTGATGCCTTGGAGTAGGCCACTAAGATTTGGCTGCCCCCTTTAGCCCCATAGTTTATGTGGGAAAGAGTGCTAGACGGCCAAGGCTGAAGGAGGCAGAGGAAGAAGGGGCATGCAAGAGTCGTGGAGAGACGGATGGGGACCTATAGCTCACCTGCATGCTTCATCAGCCGAGCGTAGACTCCCACGGCCACCATCACCATGGAAATCACCTGTAGAAACAGGGAACAAACCACACCCTGAGATTTTGGAAACCAGAGAGCCCTGATGGCCGTAAGTAACCTTAAAGGAGAGCAGGAGGAGGACGACTTTCCCAGGACCCAGAGATAAGCATCCTTCTCCTCGGCAGTGACACTGCTGATGGTATCTGTCAGTGTGGTCCTCACAACGCAGTTATCTTGTGAGGCAGCTATTATTCCCATTTTACAGATAAGGAAATTAAGGCACTACAAGGTTAATACAGAACAGTGGTTAAGAATATGGGCTTTGCAGCGACTCAAACCTGGGCCCATGCCTCAGTTTCTGTATCTGAAGATGGGAATTAGAAACAACTACATCTGGGGCCAGCCCGGTGGCACAGCAGTTAAGTTCACACATTCCGATTCGGTGGCCTGGGGTTGCCAGTTGAGATCCCAGGTGTGGATGTGGCACCACTTGGCAAGCCATGCTGTGGCAGGCGTCCCACATATAAGATAGATGAAGATGAGCACGGATGTTAGCTGAGGGCCAGTCTTCCTCAGCAAAAAGAGGAGGATTGGCAGCAGATGTTAGCTCAGGGCTAATCTTCCTCAAAACAAAAAAAAACAAAAAAACAACTACATCTAATAAGATTACTGTGAAAACTAAATAAAAGAATGCATGGACAGGGGCTGGCCCCATGGCTGAGTGGTTAAGTTCCCGTGCTCCACTTCGGTGGCCCAGGGTTTCACCGGTTCAAATCCCGGGTGCAGACATGGCACTGCTCAAAAGGCTATGCTGAGGCAGCGTCCCATCTACGACAACTAGCAGCACCTACAACTAAAATATACACAACTATGTACTGGGTGCTTTGGGGAGAAAAAGGAAAAATAAAATCTTTAAAAAAAAGAAGAAAAGAATGCATGGAAAGCATTTAACACAATGTCTGACAATAAGCATTATCTATTCTCACTAATAGTTAATTGGCCAGGGTCACATAGAAGCTGTGAAGTTCTGAGTTCTAATCCAGCTACATCAAAGGGCAGGTCTTAAAGCTGAAGCAGGCCTGAGTAGATGCACACTCCCAGGTCTCTAACTCTCTTCGAGGTCAATATAGTGCCAAATGCAAGAATGAAAGTGCATATCAATGTGAAAGAAAGCACGCGAATGGGTGTGTGCAAAACAGCAGAAATGCCTTGACAAAGGAACTTCTATCTTTATAAACCCCGACTCCAGTATGGAGGAATAGAGGAATTTAGACTTTTCAAACTTCCTGGCTTCTCTCTGAGAGAACAAACCCATTAGAGATGAGGGGTCCCCAAAGGGGCCTTCTCTGCCCCAGCCCCCCCAGCCTCCAGGCACGCAGGGAGGCCCAAAGTGAACATCCCTTGACCATTTCTTTGCGCCCAGTCCCCAGGCTGGTGCTAAGCAGCAGCTGGCTGTCGCCATGGCAATAGCTGGGGCCAAGCTCTGGCTCTGGAGGGAGTTCTCAGCAGCAGGGACTTGACCAACTCAGCGGGGAAGGAGATGGCTGGCTAGACTCCACTGTCCTGCAAGACAGAGACCAGCTGAAGCCATCTTGGGGCTTTGGTGGGAGAAGGGAATTGGGCCCCCATAGCAGGTAGTAGGGTCAGACTAGTCTCTCAGTAGAAAGACATTTTTTTCCTTGGGGGCCTCCTTTATTAAGGTCCTCTGCCATCTGGTACATTCAGCAGTAAATGGGAAAGCCTTATCTAAAACCATGTCTTTCAGGACCCTTCTCTGCTGATATGCACAGACCCCTCTCCTTGCCCACCCCCCGTCATCTGACACTGCCACTGACTCAGGGCCAGGAGTGTTATCTGCCGCCTTCACACTCTTTGTCCAGGAGAGAGGGAGCTGCTCGCAGAGCTGTGTGTGGGGTTGGAGGTGCCAGCTGGCTTCTTGTCCCATAGCACAGCCAGGCTCAGGGAACAAGGGGGAATGGGTGGGAGGCAAGGAAACCACACGACCGAGATCCCAGTCATCCTCCAGGCGCAGAGGCACAGCCCTTTGCCAGAGTGACTGAGCATCTCTGCCTGCCCTTTAAAACTCACCACAGCCAATTACACTTCTGAATATCACTTTACTGAATCATTTAAAAATATGTATCTGCTCTTTATTTCTGTTGCTCTCAGGCTTCTCGCTGTTTTTTCACATGTTAAATTTTCACTAGGGTGTATAACTCTCCACAAAGATGGTCTCTGATTGAATCCTAACACAGCTAAAACAAGAAAGGGAAAGTAAAGAGATGCCACGTATCAGAGTAACTGAATTCCATGTGTGGGCCTGTAATTACAGCAGTTGCTCTGTCTCGATTTGTGGTAGGTAGAATAGTGCACCCCCAAAGATGTCCTGTCCTAGTTCCCAGAACCTGTGACTATGTTACTTTACATGTCCAGAGGGGCTTTGCAAATGTGATTAAGGATCTTGAAACGGGGAGATTATCCCGGTGGACCCAATATAATCACAAGGGACCTTATAAGAGAAGGGCAAGAGGGTCAGAGTCACAGAAGGAGAGATGACAATGGAGGCAGAGGTTGGAGTGATGTGGTGCTATGAGCCAAGGAATGCGGGCAGCTTCTAAAAGGTGGAGAAGGCAAGGAAAGAGATTGTCCCCTAGAGCCTCCAGGAGGAACATCCCTGCTGACACCTTGGTTTCTAGCCCAGTGAGACCCATTTTGGACTTCCGACCTCCAGAAGTGTAAGAAAATTAACTTGTGTTGTATGACGCCATTAGGTTTGTGGTAATGTGTTACAGCAGTAATAGGAAACTAGTATACTACCAAAATCCAATTCATCAGCTGCTTACGTACAAGATACTCTGAGGACTGCAAAGATGAGTAAGATGTGGCCCTGCCCTTAAGGAAATCTGTGCACTATATGGAGAGAGACAGGAGCATCTATAACCTAAAGCAGTGCTTCACAACCTGGCTGCCATTAGAATGAACGGAGGAGAACTTAAAAACTCCTGAAGCTTAGGCTGCACCCCAAACCAAGTATATCAGAATTTCTGGCATTGCAACCCAGGCAACAGTATGTGTTTCAGGTGATTCCACGGTACAGCCAAGTTTGAGAACCACAAGCCTAAAGCATACTCAGCCAGGGACCTAAAGCAGCAGGTGCAGGCTACGTTAAAGTCAAGATTAAGACTTTATATTATCATTAATATTTAATATGATCCTTAATGATACTCCTTACCTGGAGCTCATTAGCTAACTCCAAAATTCTGCATTTCTGTCATTGATCTGCCTCCTTCTCCTAGAGTCACAGCTTGCCCTTTCACACTTCTATTCCTGCCAACATCTCCCACCCTGATTTCTTCAAAGCTACTGCCATTCCAAAGTTAGTGCTGCTGCTGTTAATAGCATAGCATTTTAGAGCTGGATAGAACCTTAGAAATGAGCTCGGCCACTCACCTCTTTTTATAGATGAGGCTGAAAGAGCAAAGTGACACTTGACCAAGCATACATGGGTGCAGTGGCAACGTCTGTTCTAAACTCAATTTCCAGTCTCAGTGTGGTACTCTTTCCACTACATCAGTCTTTGCCACAAAATCCTTGTAACACCCTACAATATCACCAATGACCTCCTTTCATGATGAGGATGGAGATAAAGACACTTCTCTTCTTAGAATGGCTTTTCATATTCTGGCTAGAATGAAGCCTCGCTGGAAAATTTTAAAAGCTAGACACAGTTTTAAAAATAACTGAGTCCAGCAAAAGGCATGTTCCTGAAGAGTTGTGGACCAATTTATATAAAATAATTTGCGTGGACCAATACCTTTTTCCTTATGTAAGGTGAGTAATCATCTTATAAAGAAAATAGCCATCCCCTGGGCTCCTTGGGAAAAATGGCTGATTCTAGGACTCGGGTAGAAAATACACAAGATAAGCCTAGAGCGTATTGTAGTCCCCGAAAGTAAGGAAATGCTCAAAACCAAACAAAAAGCAAAAACAAAACCCTGCATTGATGTGGGTATGCCAAAGGGACATCAAAATAAAGAAGTATGGAATGACTACCCCAAATATAAAATAAATATCCATGAGTTCATACTGATAAAAGTGACTTAATAAATAAGCAAATAGGGGAGAAACGACAAATCTCCCATACAGAAGAATTCCAAATAATGTATGCGGCCACTGCGCTCTCAAGGAGGTGGAGCATAACTCCATTCCTAAGGGTAGGCTGCGCATGGAACTTCCTTCCAAGGAGTACAGTATGCAAGAGGGGGAAAAGACTAACTTGACAGTGGAGAAACCTGACAAACACGACCTCAGCCAGGTGATCAAGGTCAACATCAACAGAGATGCATCATAGGTATATAAGATGATGTAATGAAAATGGCACTTCACCTCTGTGGCCTTCCTCCCCAAAACCCATAACCCCAGTATAACCATGAGAAAAACATCAGGCAAGTTCCAATAGAGGGCCACTCTACAAAATATCTGACTAGTACTCCTCAAAACTGTCAAAGTCACCAAAACCAAGGAAATTCTGAGAAACTGGCACAGCCAACAGGAACCTAAGGAGACAGGACAACTAAATGAAATTTGGTATCCTGGATGGCATCCTGGAACAGAAAAAGGGCAATAAGTAAAAACTAAGGAAATCCATATAAAGTACAGACCTTAATGATAATGCCATTAATTGTAACAAATGTATTATACTCATGTAGGATGTTAATAATAAGAGATTCTGTAATAAGAGTTCCTGTATATCGCACAGGAACTCTCTGTACAATCTTTTCAATTTTTCTGTAAAACTAAAACTGTTATAAAAACTGAGATCTATTTAAAAAACAGCCACCCTCAATTTGTTAATGTTGTAAATCTGCATTTTTTAATATCAGATTTTCTTTTTTTTTTTTTTTGAGGAAGATTAGCCTTGAGCTAACTACTGCCAATCCTCCTCTTCTTGCTGAGGAAGACTGGCCCTGAGCTAACATCCATGCCCCTCTTCCTCTACTTTAAATGTGGGACGCCTACCACAGCATGGCTTTTGCCAAGCGGTGCAA